AATCATAATAAATCATCATAACTCATACCACGACAATACTCCGTATATCATCATAATATCGATAACTTATTTTGTTATTGTGGGGTAATATTGAACTTTTGAAATTTATTGGTTGTTTTGTTTAATAATACCACGTATTTATAGTGTAAATCTGTAACAGGTAACTATTGATTGTGTTACGATTAATTGTGATCGAGGTGTGCATCTTATCATAATCTTAAATCCATCTATCTTTATCTTTATACTTTAATAACGACTTAATTTTTGATTAGTAACATGGATCATACGATTAAAGTCAGGTGTAAGAGTACTTTAATTCCATTTATGTAAATGTTAACAAAAATGACGCATTTACTCAATTTTTTTCTCATAAACATAAATCATTACGTATTTAAAACTTCAAAAGTGGATGTATTAAGTTCTGTCTGTTATGAAATGAGCCTTTGTATGCACTATATGACCATTGTTAACTAGTTTCGTATGCAAATGCACATATCTGTTGTATCTACTGATAAGTAAGAATAAGTCATGCATTAATATTTTTATAGGATAAAAAAAAAAAACGGTTATAAATTTTTATTATCCATATCGTAACCTTTTGATTTAGCCTTATTTGATCTCAATGCCTTCTATTTTATTTTATGGGAAAACAAAACTCGGTTATCCATTATTCATTTATTTTGGAAGTGAATATTAATGAATCTTGATGAATAATAAGTGATTAATTATTAGTAAAAACTTGCGTTTCAAACATTTCGGATTATGTATGTATGTATGTATTTATCTGTTATTTTGCTACATACCAGATACGTACAGTACGTACGTACGTACGTACGCACGTACGCAATTTGTTTTTTTTTATGTCTCACATTATTGAAAAATAAAAATCATTGTAGCCACGTTTACGAAGCAGTAACGATGAGATCTAGTGACACAAAAAATGCATGGCTTGTCAATGGCTCATGAGTTTACTTTATGATTGTTCTTTTTTTGAAACATAACTATATATTATATATATTTTAGAATAACTATTATCGTTATACGTATTTTAGAAATAATGATAATTATAAACACCAATAGTGTGGCGCATATTAGACGGTATTTTAACAATGGAACGGTTTCACCATATGATAATGGACCAAATTTGTCTCAACGCCATTTCGAATAACCAATAAAATTTAATTTTACAACCAATTTTAGTATTTTTCGGCTATTACTCTTGCTATTTAACAAAAACAGTAAGTACTATATAATAAAAATAGTAAATATTATTCAAATAATCCTCGGTTATTAGCCACAAATATCTTATTCAAATAGTAATTCTTTGTATTTATTGCGTAACTCAAACAAACCCCTTCAAAATAATTATTACGTTTTAAAAATTTTAGATATTTATTCGACAAAAAATAGTTACTATTTTTGTAAACCTTCAATGGTAAATCTTCGGAACTTTTTCCTCATTATTACCAATTGTAACTCTTTTGTGTGACTGTTGGGAACACAACACTTGCACACGTGGAATATGCTCGTGGCTTTTTTTGAACAATAGTTAAACAATGCATTCATTATGATTGCGTATTCAGTGATTGATTCAAAAATCACACTACCAAGAGTTTCACACCAAGAATTCTTGTCTTCAATTGTTTGACTCAGGTCTAACTCAGCGAAAATAACAATTCAAAATATGGTAAATTATATGGATTGTTATTATATAGTCATTTATTCT